ACCCACGCTGCACCTGGGCTGCAACCAGTAGGTCCCGCCGGCGCAGGGTAGCCGGAAGCTCTCCCACACACTCACCAGGCCTGGGCTAGGACTCCCTGACATGTTTAGGATTCAGTAGAATAGCCATTGGCAGATGCAGTGCGTTTCCAGGAACATCACAGCTGCTGCGTAACCCACCAGCAGCATCTCCTCTGCCTTTCATTTTGTTGTGAGATGTGATCATTTCTGGCTGGATTCACTGTCAGTGTTTCATTTGATTTTTGTTGTGGTTATTTTGAGACAGGGTCTTCCTGCATAGTGCAGGCTAGCCTTGGACCATCACCCAGGCCAACAGTGACTCAACAGGACTCTCCTGCCTCAGCCTCCTGAGCACTGGGGTTTTGGATGTGCAACCCCTACCACACCCAGCCCCACTGTCATCCTGTTGTCATAGTGACAGTGTCAGTACTCCCTCTTTCACCACATAGGAAGCCAGAGTTGTAGCTTTGTGAACTCCAAATATTTTCTCATACGTTTCTCTGCTGCGAACTTGCAACTTTTTTTTTTAATCTTGAATTTGTTCTTTTGAATTGTTTCTGTGCTGGTCAGCTGTTGTTCTTTTAGCACATGCAGCACCAGTGAGTAACCAGTCACTGAATGTGACACTTGGGACACTTCTGAAATAGGCACAGCAGGGTTTTCATAGTGTCACACCGTACGTGGCTACACAAGCAGTGCGGGCTCTCACCGGCCGGCGTGCGTGCAGGTGGCGGCGTGCGGATCGCTTGGCAGTTGGAAACAAGGTTCTCACAGAACAAACCCATAACAGCCGAGTTGTGGTCGCTTTCTTTATGGTGGGTCTTTCTGTCATTAAATCATAGGCAGCTTTGAAGAGAACCGAATCTAGTAAGTGGTATCATTGTTTACAAGTTGCAGCGCCATGTCTGCCGTTTCTCATTAGGCCCTTTAGAGTCTGAAGATTAGAGTGGCAAAGTCCTGCTAGGAATGCTTTTCACGCAGATGGGCGGAGTCATGATAGATGTGTGTGAGCTACACGTATGATGCTTTACTTGTGAGTCATTATTAGTGTATTTCATAGCACCTTGTAGCATGCTGTCCATTTGAGACAGTTCCCAACATTGAGCCTTAGTGTTGGCTTCTGTCCAATCACTTCCTCTCCTGGCAAGACCTAGTGGTGTTTCCTCACCTGGTTCAGGCATGCATGACCGTGTGGTGAATACTTGACCAGCATTAGACTAAGCCCAGTGCTTGTGCACCACCGTTTCCTTCCTTGGCGATCCAGCCCTTCTTGCTGTGCTTCTCTATCCATCACATCTTGATAGCTTCTTAGCTCACGTGATCCGGGTCAGCATCAGTAGCTGAATTGCCTGATGATGCATCTTTACCCCGAGGGGTAAAAGCAGAGTTTCAGCGATTTTGTACTGAACTGGACTCATTCTGATCCAGTGGGATGCACTGAAGCCGCGGAGCCAGTGCAGACAGGCAGAGCCATGGCACGCTGGGACAGGCCGGCTGGTGGCGCCTCCACGGCCATCCCACATCTTCAGAGCTGCTGCCCAGCTGGGGCCACCCCAGCTCATGTTCCTCGGCCTGCTCTAACTTTTTAAGCTACATTTGAGATTCTTCTTTATTTTTTAAAATATACCTTCCCAGATAACCCTTGCCGTCTGGGCTGACCTTTCTATTTCAGGTATATAGCATTCATCTCTGGAAAAAATGCCCTTTTCTAAAATAGCTGCTGTGGCTCCCCTTTTCTGGGTAGAGAAGACTTGTCGTGAGTGTCTGCAGGACACCTGAGGTTGTTGAGGGTGACAGCACGAGTAGTGGGCTGGACCCGAGAGACTTACTGTTCTGGTTTGCCAGTGACGCATCCTAGAGCCTGGGATGGCTGTTCCCTGATCCCACGGCCAGTTCATCCTTACTTATTTAAATGGGGTTAAAGGTAGCTCACGGCCTACACGGGCCCCATGATGGTAACAGCCATGAGCGAGCACAGTATGTTCATCCCTAAGTGAACGGCCACTGGTGTGTACAGAGCATCTACATTTCTGTTCTCTGTGTGGTCTTCACATAAAATAATTTTCTGTGTTGGAGAATGACAGCCTGTGGAGAAATCTGCATACTTCCTAGTACTGTGCTTGCTCATAGATTTATGTGGGTATACATTAAAACATGCATGCATACGTGAACACACATATGTATACCTCCCTGACCATTATGATTCAGGATGAGGGGAGTTTTAAAAAAATATTTCATTGGGGTCTCAGCCTGCTCACCTGGGAGGATTTGGGGCTCCAGCTTCACCCCATAGCACGATTTCCTCTCCCTTTTAAGCCCCAAGTATAGGTAGGCTTCTTCCTTAGACGTTCAATACATTTTTTCCCCCTCTGCCAAAGAGGAGTTTGGATAACCTGTTTTCCTTTGTTTCTCAGAACAAAGGAATTTTGTCTCTGTATTTTCTGTTGGTCTTAGATATGGGTAGGGCTCGAGCCCAGGGAACCTGGAAAGCTAGTATCCATCAGGAAACGTTAGCACTTGGGGAGCGCCAGTGGTATGGGCATCAAGACCCTGTTGTCGCAGTGTCTTCTCAGGGTCCTCAGCCCTGCAGCCTGCTGTGGAAGCCAGTGCCTCACTGCCGTACCAGGAGTGGGGTGCCGGGCCTCCAAAGATCTGGTGAAATTGACTCCTGAGGAGGAACCTAGGGCCAGTCAATTAGGATTCCACAGGGCCCCTGGGTTCTCCTGCGGTCACACCAGGGCATGAAGTCGCTTGATTATGGATGGTGGTGTGGTGACAAGTCCCACAGGCCTCATGAAAGGACGAGAACTTCCTCAATGGCAGAAAGTCATCACGTGTGGCTGGGGTGACTGAGGACTCTGAGGCTTCACAGAGTGGGGTTTTAATCAGCCTTTATGTAAGCAACCAGAGAGGTGCTGACTGCGAGGCTGAAGGGGTCAGGTCTGCACACGTGGTGCTGGGCGTCCGGGATGCAGGAGGCTCGGGACAGTGGCACAAGGGGATGCCCCGCCCATAGGCAGAGCAGAGCAGCTGGAGTAGGAGAAGGCAGTAAGGAGGTCTAGATAGGCAGGGATGCAATTTTAAGCTCAAAAAAGATGTGTGGGAGTCATAGTGTCCAGCCTCATAGTAACGGTAGCTCTTCAGGCCAGAGAGTGGGTTGGGGTTGTGACCGTGCTGCCTTCTGTCTTGCAGGCTCCTTCATGATGGTGAATGGTTCGGGGCGGCCCGAGGGGCAGCGAGCGCGCCTGCTGCTCCCCCAGCTGAAGGAGAATGACACCCACTGCATTGATTTCCACTACTTTGTGTCCAGCCAGAGCAACTCTGCTCCTGGGTTCCTCAATGTGTACGTGAAGGTCAATAACGGGGCGCTGGGGAGCCCCATCTGGAATCTGTCTGGGGCTCCGACCGGGAGATGGAACCGGGCGGAGCTGGCCATCAGCACGTTCTGGCCTAACTTCTACCAGGTATGGGCTTTGAAGCATCCTCTAATTTCAGAAAATATGAATCTTTCTGTTACTCACCAGAGACCATGTGAGCTGCTGTGCCTTCCTGCTAAGAGGCAAGCGACCCGAGGCCAGCTCCTCAGCCTGGGAGGAGCCAGCTCTGCCCTGGGCGGGACTCCAAGCAGCTCGGACAGGAAGCGCACCCTCCATGGGACCCTGACTGACTCCTTTTCCCAAGGGCAGCTGCATGTCCCCTCCTGGTATTTTGGAGGCCACCTTGAGACCCTCTTTGCCCACGTTCAGTGAATGCCTTCTACAGTAACTGCAGAGGCCCAGGGCAGTGGCGTTGGAGTGCAGCCGCCATCTGAAGTCACGGCCCTGTCAGGGATACTGTCAGGCCAGAGCATCTTGATGGGGCCCAGAGTGGAAAATGAGTGGCGATGGCGTTGAGGGCCTTTAATTCTGTAACCCACAGCAAGCTTTGAGGTCAGCTGGTAGTGCAGGTACAGTTGGTGGGGCTGTGAGATGCGTACGCGACACCACATAATCTGCAGTTCTCTTTCTTTTCTCTGTTGGCTCCCTCAGGAGTCAGCTCACCCAGGTGTGAGGCCACCCTCATGTTTGGGCAGCCTGGGGCTGAGATCTGGGTCTCGGGACTGCTTGCCTGGGGTATGAACAACATCCCCTCACGCTCTCTGCTGCTCAGCATGGCAGGTACACTGACATGTGGGGCAGGCCCCGTCCTGGGGATGGAGGGCCGGGGGCCCCTCACTTCATCTGCCTTTGTGTCCCTGCATGTACAGCAATTTCTACCACTCAGTTAATGCTAAATCAACATTTTTTTAATTAAGTTTTTATGTATTTATTTGGTACAGTGTCTCACTTCACAGCTTGGACTTGTAGTGATTCTCCTGTCTCAGCCTCCCCAGCGCTGGGATTACAGGCATGAGCCACCATGCCTGGTCTTGGTGGCAGGTACAGCGCATCTGGGGGCAGAGCTGGCATGGCGTGCAGTGCTGGTGATCGAACCCAAGGCCTTGTGCTTGTCAGGCAGGCACTTAGACCACTGAGCCATCCCCCAGCCCTAAACAAACATTTCTTGAGTGGAGGTGAAGAGTTAGTAAAAACAGTGTTAGTATAGATGTAAATTATTAAAACCCTTTTTAGAGTACACTTGGACAATAAATTTTAAAAACATTAAAGATTTATGTACATCTAAATTAAGCAATCTATTATTAGCTATTTATCCTGAAAAAATAATGAAGAGTGATTTGCAAATAATTAACTATAAGAATATTCATAGCAGTTTATTTATATTAACAAAAATCAGACACAGTATTATTTCCAACAATAGAGGATTTAATCTGTGATACTTCAGTACAAAAATTCACTTTGCAACCAGTAAGGATAATGTTATGAAAAGAACATTTAATGATATATTTAGGCTTATGTTAGTAAGTGAATAAAATGGTATAAAAACAATATATAAGTTCCACGGTTAAATTTCAAAAATATGCAATGTGGACCAAAATATATTCTCAAATAAATTCATGAAAAGTGACACCCATTTAGGCAGAGCAGTAACTCGGATTTTGCTTTCTCTCTCCCAGCCATGTTCACTCAGCCCCGAGCCTGTGCTCACCCACCGCACCCCAGTTTGTGAGGCGGAGACACTAGCAAGGCTGCGGCTGCCTGAGGCTTTCCCTTTCCTTGCTGGGGACAGCAGCGCCCTGGCGTGGTTAGCAGGCTGGCAGAGTCGGCCCCTGGGTGAGACGCAAAGTGTGGCTGATGCGGGGAAGGTACGAGCAGGAAACAACACTCAGATGTAGGCCGAACCCACCTGGAAGGTGTCCCCAGCCGCGAGGAGACACGCATGCAGTGCAAAGACAGATGCTGTGAAAGGAAAGCTCTTCCAGACTTACTCACCGTGCCCCTGAGTCGTCACCCAGTGGGATAAAAGGCCACCCCGCCCTGGTTTGGGAGGTGACTGCTCACTCGGGTGTGCTCAGCCCCACGGGTTTGCACTTGAGGAGCCCCCTTTCTGCGTGGGATGTGAGTCTGGTGTATGGCTGCTACATTCTCATTTTGAGGTCCTGGACCTTTTTTCCGGTCTCGTGCATACGTGCATGTGACATTTTCTTTTGTGAACATGGTCCGTAAGTGTCAGCATCCAAATGATGCTTGCTTAGGATACAGACCCACTGTTTCTGGGCCCAAACACTGATGATGGTGCAGTAGGCCACAGATGCCTAAAGGGCTGGTGCTCTTGAGAGACCCCACAGGATTCCAGGAGTCACAGTCCCTCTGCCTTATGATGTAGGCTGCACTATCTGAAGTAGGAGAGTGGAAAAATTAGTATGAAGTTTACATAGACTTGAAATATTCATCTGTTACATTATAGCCAGATAGTACTTCATCTGCATAGCGTATGTACCACATTAGTAGTTGAAATTTTTCGTTACCTTTTTTAATGGGTTTTCTGTGGTCCTGGGTTTGAACCCAGGGCCCGGCACATGCTAACTGCATGTTCTGCCACTCGGCTGCAGCCCTGGCCCACCCATCGTGTTTTGATGTAAGGTAAGACAGGAGGCAAGATGGGTGCATGAGCAGTTTTAGAGTCATTTCACACATTGTATTCTGTACCGTGAGGCGTCCTGCTAGAGTTGCAGAACAGGGTCGGGCCTGAGTCCTGGCCCTTCTTTCCTTAAGCCTGCCCAGCTGCTTTGCACTTGTGACCCCCGATCCCTGATTATGGCCTAAATACAGTGACTGTTCAGGTGTGAAGAAAATGCGTTCAGCACGTGGTGACCTCCCTGAGTGGTGGCGGTAGAGCCAGCACGAAGGTCTGGGGGAAGCTAAAGAGAGAGCACTCGCTCCCGCCCGAGCACTGCCCCGAAATGCTTCACGGAACCTCAGAAAGGCAGCAGAGGGCAGAGGCACCCAGAAGCAAATCTCTCTGAAACACTGGGCAAGCAGAGCTGTCCAGGTTCCCTTCTGTACGAATGCTCCAGAGCAGCTGTCCCCTGTCCCCTGTCCCCTGTCGATGCCAGCTGAGCTTTCCTGACTGCCCTGGATCTCATGATGCCTGTCCACACTGGCTTGGGGATACACACAGCACTGCCCAGCTCCCAGGTCCCTCTCTTCCGTTTCCTCAAGCACCTCATCCAGAATGTCCATTTCTCATGCAGGACGAGCTGCGGAGCCTGTGATCAGGGCCTGCTCTGTGAGGTGACCTGGTGGGGGAGGAAGTGCCACTCACGCAGGCCCCCAGCGCCCGCTGCTGCTGGTAACCGCCCTGTCTTCCTGGGCCCAGCTCGCCACAGCAGGGTGAAGTCTGTTGCCCGGCCAGCCTTCCTTGCTCGCGGTGGTGGAGTAGAGCTCTGCAGGTGCAGATCGCAGCGCTCACCTGGAATGCCGCTTAATGGCAGGTTAATTACGGCTCCTGGAAACATCAGGTGTCAAGTATTTGGTGATTAACACCAATTTAATTCCTTGACTAAAGGCTGTCCTGCTGGCGGCTCCCTAGCGCTGCCCCTGGGCTCGGCTGTGGCAGGAAGAGCAGCTCCTACCAGCCGTGGGCGCTGCTGCCTCGGGCCTAGGAATCAGCTTCCTGCCATTTCAAGAATATTTTCCTTTCCCTCTTGCTTATCATACTGATAAAACAAACAAACAAACAAACAAAAAACAAAACTTGTTTCCTGGCTTTGGTTTTGCTTCCTGACTCCTCACCTGTCCCAGAGTGATTCAGATGCCACCAAAGCACACTTGTCCCCACTCCATTCTCCGGATTCTTTCTGATCATGAGTGTAAGCACAGACGCCAAGTGTCTGACCTGCGCAGCTCATGCGGGACAGTGATTCTGGCTTAGCCACAGGCTGGGAGGCAGGGCTGGGGTCGCAAATGGGAAGGGTGGCTTTGCGAGGGGAAAAGCGCCCAGGTAGCCGGGACTCCCACCTGCCTCTTGGGTGGAGCCATCAAACTGGGCCTTGTGGGTTCACCACAGCCTCCTTGTTAAAACATTCCTGGGCTATGCTGAGGGGTCGGGGAGAAGGTCAGGCCAAGTCCAGCTGGGGCCTGCTGTAAGTCCTGTGTACAGCTGGGACACAAAGGACCCTGCGCTTCCAGAGAGGCTGAGCCAAGTGTTACCCTCTGTGGCTGCCTGCTCTGCTGGCAAAGGAGGTATGAAGGGAATGGGCACGTCCCCGCTGCTGCTTCTCATTTAGCTTCTTGCTTCCTTGTTGCCTTTGCCTTCGCCTGACTCTGCCCTAGCAGGGCCGCGAGGGTGACAACAGCCAGCACATTGCCCAAGCAGTGCCGCAGAGCCCAGGAGGCGAGCGCTTTCTGCTCTGGGTGCTGCATGTCCAGGAGTGTTTGGAGAGGCATCAGGCGGCCAGATGGAGAGGGCTGATGGAAATGGAGCCAACAGCCTGGTTGTGCGGGCTGCTTCCACATCCATGCCTGTCCCCAAGTCTCCAGGGCAGTAACAGTGATGGCTCAGCTGAGCTGGACACCTTGGGGGCCTGCCCCGTGTCTGGAATCTGGCCTTCTCTGAGCACGTTGGGGAGTTGTGGGAATCCCGTAAAATGGAGTATATGGGACTTTGAGTTCCGTGGCTGTGGCTTGTGGTTCAAGTGCGACACAGCTCAGGACTGACAGGACCAGCACAGTGTCCCAAGAAAACACATGGGTTGTCACTTTACTATTGGCTCAGGGGCTCACTGACACATTGACCAGTTTGCATGGTGGTCTTTTCATCCTCAAGACCACGTTGGCTTTATGTACCTTTCAGTTTCACTTCAGCCGACTTGATGGACAGGAGGCGTGGCGTCGCGCCGTGTGCATTCTCGGCCCTCCCAGCCTTGATGGACAGGAGG